CTTTTTTGTTTGTTTGTTTTGGTTTTTTGTTTGCTTGTTTTTCAAGGGGGTGGTCCTTCTAGTACAAACTGAGTCATAGTTAGCTATAACTTCAGGATTGTGCACTGATCGTTTTAGAATGAGAAAAATCTCACAGAATCTGAGATGATACATGATACATTCAAAGATTTTATTTGATTTGATTTGGTACTAGGAATCAAGCTCATAACCTCATGCTTGCCAGATAGGCTCTGTGCTTCTGAGCTATGTCCCCAGACTTCCATTCATAGATTTTAATTTAGGATTGTGCATTGACAGATTTTAGAATAAATCAGCGAAGGCTCCCTTATTCTGAATGAAAAATGTGCACACTTTCTAGCTGCTATATAAGACTAGCCTCTGACCAATCTCCTTTCTCCGACTGTCTCCCTGAATGCTTTTCCACCTTTTGGAAGTCAGTCTCTATCCACGCTTCCTGCTTGTGCCCAGTGTATTACGTGATTCAGCTCCAGCATGTTTTTTAAAGCACAATACCTGGAGGTCACATTTGTTGCCTGTGTGCCTCACATTATGCTTTGTACTCTAAACGATCCTATGTATTTGAGGACATAGGAATGAGTGGCACAGCACTTGTTAAAATTCTTCAGAGGAAAGGTTTCCATTTAAATCCTCAACTCTAGAGAAAAAATTCAAAGGAAAGAGAAAACCACGCAAAACCAAGTGTTACATTTTCTAGATCCACCTTGTGTGTCACCATGGTGTTAGGAATCACTGTTTAAAGCCTTTTCCATGGTTTTTCGTGATTCTTTAAGTTAATAAGATTGGTTGGCCTTCTCACTGTTATAAAACCCAGGGCGTTTTGAGAAGTGCCTACTTTCATTTGGGGAAATTTTAATGTGCAATAAAATATTCTGAAATGCAATGCATTTGTTTTAAAAAGGCAATATAGTCTTGTTTATGGTGGCATCTGTGTGTATATGTATATAAGTGTTTATAAATAAAGAAAACTTTCTTTTCTGGACAAGACATTAAAATAGGTAATAAAGTCACCATAATCCCATGGGCCAGAGACAGTGCAGCTTTGGTACATAACCTTATAATCTTCATTTGCAAACATGCATGTTGTGTTATATATTTTTTCGTATAGAGGTTGGATGCCATACCACTTTGCCGTCTTACCAAGAATAACATTTTGCGGTGTAGTTGTAGAACATATTCACGAGCGTAGTTTAATAGCCTTGATAAAAAAAAAAAAAGAAAAAGAAAAAGATTCTTCCTCCTGGTGTTAATTGGTCAGGTCCCGGTCACCACCAGGGAACTGCCCATTTGCTTCCTCCGAAGGATGGCTTCGTTCCCAGGAAACTTCAGAAATTCCTGACTCTCTTTTCCTGCTGCTTTCTGTTACTCTCAAACTCACACATTGAACAGATGCTTCCGTGTGAACGTTATCTGGGACGTTTTAGAAGTAGCATTTGCTGCTGTGGGGGTGCAAAGGGCACATAGTGCCATCCCAGGACACTGTCCTTCATTACCCCAGGTGGATGAGTGGGGCCGCTGAGAAAGTGCTGTGTCTGCCTGTGTGCCTCGGGAGACAGGACATGATCTGCAGAGCACAAGCCTCCTGCCGCCATGGAATGCACCAAGTCTACGCTGCCTAGTGATAGCCAAAAGCGCGCTGTGAGCAGCCCCCATGGCCCATGCAGCATGCATGATGTGCGTGTAACTCCACATGGAAGAGGCCTGCGTTCTAGGATCCCTGGGTTATGGACTATTTTGCTGCCTGGTGACCTTTGAGTGTTTTCCCTTGGGTCTCCCAGCTGTTTTAAATCTTTCTGAGTAGTTTTGGCTAAAATAAATTATAAATTGTAATAAGGAGGCTTGTTCCAGCATTCATATTTATTAGATATTAAGATTTAATGACCATATGGGCCTAAAACAAATGTTTGATTTCTTTTTTTTCAAAAAGCAGTCCAGTGGAGCTGCTTAATTTTGACTACTTAAATATTAATTTGTGGTCATAACCCACTTTTGGCTCCTCCTGGAAAAGGTGTGGCTTTTTAAAATGACCTTTTTTTGGTGACTAGTTGACAAAGAGGAAACATTACCTCCTTTAAATTAAAAAAGGTGTTCTTATCAGTTGTAAATATAAGTGTGTCCCTTGACCTAGGACCTTTTGGGATCTCATGGACCACTTCCTACAAGAAACAGACTTTTAACTCTTTACCTCCTATTTTGCAGTCTTGTCGATTTTGTATAATTAAGAGTGGAAGAGCTATTTATTAATGCTTGTTTTTAAAGTAATATTTTATTGCCTGAGTGAGATGAGAATGTGGCATTAGTGAAAAGAGCATTCTAAATAGGGCTAAGGCAGCCTTTAAGTACTGCTTCTGACCATGCTGCCAGCCCCTGGCTCCATCTTTTACCCGCATGTGAGAGGTTCACAGGTACACCTGTCTCCTGCTGTACCTGCCATTCTGCCGCTGTTTTCTCTCAGTGTCATTCTTTAGAGGCTGGCCATGTTGTTACCTGTAGAAAGCACTTATCCCTTATAACTTGTGCCAATTCTTTTGTAGGTTAGCTACTCCACAGCTTATTTGGAATTTCCAGTGGGCTGCTAGTTTGGCTCCAGCCCAGTGGTACTGCAGGGAACATCCTTGTGAATGTACCTTTGAAGGGGTGTGGAGTGTTTCTCTGTGGTCAACAATGAAAAGTAACCTGTATTTTATGCAGGAAAATCTTGAGAGAGAATTTAGGACTGACCGGTTTTATAAATGACCAGCAAAATGTGTATTGAATCATTTTTCTGACTCCAGCTACCTAGTTGGGTATTAGTTACAAATTTTTGTAGATTGTCACTGAGATCCTGGACAGAGTAAAGTTCCCATTAAAGCTAACATTGCAACCTTGCTTTTTTCAGTTAACTAAGAAAGTGTGAGTTAGAGAGAAATCTGATCTTTATCATACAATGTATAATTTTGAAGTTTATACAGTGACCTGCATTAATATAATCTGCCAAAATCATATTGATGAACCTAAGAACACCTAGTAATTAAGAGCAAAGACATCAGAATTGCTAAACATTCTTATCTATAAGCAAAATACTTCTTTTACATCTGTTTTCATATGTTCCTATGCTTAGTAAATGGTTTTTCCCATAGTAAGAATAAGGTAACCACACCTACTTCCTTTTTGAATAATGTCAGCAAAAAAAAATGAGAGAACCAGGAATGGGGTTGGCCTAGGTTGGAAGTTTTTATAACATATTCTCTTAATCAACTATCTCAGCAATCTGGGGAAGTGACAGTTTCTATCTCATCATTGGAGAAAAGGCACAGAGGGCTGAACAGTGGTATGCTGAAGTTGCTTGTCTGAGTTTGCCTGATTTGTAAGAGTTGTAGTCTTTCTGCTGTAGTGTAGTTCAAACAGTGATCTTAGAGCCCTCGCATCAGAATCCCGGGGAAGATTTGCTCCTATGTGTATTCCCAGGCTCTGGTGGGGTCTGGGATTCTGCGTCTCTAGTGTGCCAGGCATTTCTATGTCCTCTGAAGTCTGAGAGCCACTCTCAGAGCATGGTGACCTCACTGTGGTGACGCAAGGAGCCTTGGTAGAGAGTGCCCCCAATGCCTCTTTGGATGAGTGACTCTTGACATGCCTGACTCACAGTGGGCACATTACATTGCTTTTCACATGGCCTCCTCCCTCACCCACTTCCACTGCCTCACATTACTAGCACTGAGCTTAGCGTGGTTCATGGTTTGACAAGTCAGTTCCAAAATAGTTGAAATCATCACACTATGTGGGAATCACTTTGAAACCCAGGTTGAAATTTGTAGTGCAGAATCACCTAATCCTGTGTTGGCAGGCACTGTTTACACAGATGAAATCTGCATGTACAATCTCTCCTGGGCTCAAACAAAATAGTAATAATAAAGAGAGTAGCCTGTGGAAATGAGTAGTTTGAAAGCACCAATATGTGCTTTATTTCCTTTCTCACCTTCCTTTCCCACATTGCCCTCGGTGACAGATTCCCCATGAGCCTGCCCCAATCTCTGCTGACTTCCCAGAGTGAGGCTGTGGCTGGTCCTTCCCAGCTTGAGCTCTATCACTTAGAACAGTGTTGGGGGACAGACAGCCAGGTTTAGACCTTGGTCTCCTCTCCTCAGCCTTTCTCTTTCTCTGTTATTCATTCATTTCTCTCTCTCTCTCTCTCTCTCTCTCTCTCTCTCTCTCTCTCTCTCTCTCTCCCCCTTTCTCTCCAATTCTGTGAAATTTTTCTTTTTCATTCTCAAGCGACATTCCTTCTCTAGGAGATAAATGGAACCCTACCTAGTCCTTTCCAGCAAATAGTAGGAGGCTATGGAATGAGTGGCAGGCGCTGAGGCAGACCTGTGCCTGAGATCTGGAGGGAACAGGACCAATTTGTGCTTGGGTTCATATTTTATCCTTCTGTTCTGGCAAAAGAGCATTCGTCCGTCTTTGTTTCGGTGTTGAGCTCATCCAAATAAAGAAGGCACTTCTTCTCCTGAAAGACAGAAAGGAAAAAAAAAAAAGAGAAGGAAAAATGTGATTTTAACCATACCCTCCTTTGAAACTAAACATATACCCCTCCCCCTGTCCTGATTGGTCTGCTTCAATTGACAGGTGGGTTGGGTGGAAAGGAAATATCCTGGACTTAATTGTAAGTTAAGTCTCTCTTAATCCAGAAGAGCATTTGAGATTCTGTCCAAGTGTTCAATTTCCCAGGCCGCTGAGGTCTGTGAATTTCTTTTCCCAGCCTCCAGGCTGCTGCAGTACAAGTCAGCATAGCTAATGCAGATAGATCTCCTGCCTCTCGCTCTCCTCCTCCCTCTGCTTTGATTCGATATGAACAGCCTGGTAACTCCGATGCTGGGGAGAAATCTGACATAACTCTGCAGATGGCTAGGTTGCCGTGAAACACCTGGGGATTGTTCTTTAAGAAAAAGGTAACATTTATATGCTAATTATCTCTTCCTCTCCCCTCCTTGTTGCATATTTTTCAGGGCTGCCTGTTTCCAAGAAGAGCCCCAAGTCGGTAAGGACTTGTCAGCTACTTGGTGATTGCTTGGGGGTGGGGGACCCTGGTGGTGGGAGGGGACGCTGTCCGGCTTTACTTCACTAAATAAATGTGTTTCAGAGTGGCTGGGGGCGAGAGGCGCTGGGGCTCATTTTATTAACTTCTGGGGATCTGTTTGGCATAGGTGGTATTTGAGCTTGTCTTTTAACTGTGTAAGGATCTGTGGGCAGGCTCCGGGAGCTATGATGAAGAATGTATATTTTGGCATCTTCTCTACACAGATGTATCACCACAACTCTCCTTCAAATGGATGAGTCCCTTAGCTGCCTTAACTTGATACAAACGCTATTGTTTCCTTTGGAAAAAGGGAGGAAAAAGGGCTCCACCTGCTCCCTGAGTAGCGTTGCTCTCAACTGGTGTTCCCTGCCGGTTCACATGGCTACTCGTCCTCTCCCTGAGCCTTCTTATGTTCTCGGTGATGAATTATTTACTAAATCAGAAGCTAGGTAGGTTTCAGGAAGGTTTGCTCTGCCGTGTGTATGTCCATGTTGAGGCGGGCCAGTGCTCACTGCCCCAACACCAAGAATAAGACATTTCTTTGCTATGGAAATGCCCTTTGTTGTTTTGCTAGCTTTAGCAGCATTATGCTGCAGGTATAGGATTTAAAAAAAAAAAATCAATGTTTTGCTGTCCTTTCTAATCTGGTTTCCCTGAAGATGCATTACCTCGTTGACATGTTAGCTAATAGCTTAGAGGCTATAGTGTTTTGCTTGGTAGTATGGGCTCTTGCTCCCCAGGCACTAACAACAAATTAAAATGCTACTTAAAAACTCAAAATCTGGAGCTTGGATGCTTGTGAAATTGATCTGGGTGGAAGAGGCTTCCTGATTTGTTAACCTTAGGATAAAGGAGGGTGCTTCATTGTGGCTTAGGCAATCTGGGAGAAGGTAGATTTACAGCTTAGTGCCATCCAGAAAAGAAGGACCTTTAAAACTTTGCTGCATATGGAGCTGCAGCTGGATTCTTTCTACCTGTCTGCAAGCATGGCAGCAAGAAGCAGAAGTTTATTAAGGAGACGAGAGAGGGAGCTTCCTGCATTCCGAAGCCTTGTTCCTAAGTTCTCCAAAGAGGAAAACCTGCAATATTGATGTGGTCCCAGTAGCACAGCACCATAGTGATTGGAAGATTGACTTCAGGGCTGCATCCCCTGTCAGTTTGTGTTAATATCCAAGCAGAAAAGTGCAGGTTGGCACTCACACTGGAACCACAGAGATGCCAGAGCACGTGCTGGTGCACATGTGGCTCTTTATCTCTTGGTCGTAGAACTCATTCAGCCTTCACAAAACTGGAAGCAAATCTGGATGCTCATGAGTTTGAGTTGGTATGAGCCATCCCTGTTCCTCACACACACACACACACACACACACACCGTGCTGTGCAAGTGCCTGGACTTATTGTACACACTTCATGTGGCATAGTCTTGGCAAGGCGTATTCTGAGGGGGCAAAGCAGTTTTACACCATTAGCCTGACATCAGGGTACAAGGTGTTCTTTTCATGCTATGTAAATTTACTGTGCAAAATTTTTGTAATGCTTGCATCTCCTCTTCCCAAAAGTGTTTTAGAATTACCTGGAGAGCTCAAAGGACATTAAAAGAGATATAGAGCCTTTATTTATCAAGTCAGTTAAGAGAATTCCCTATGACAGTTTGTTTTGGTTGAAGCCATGTCATTAGCAAGCAGCAAGCCAATTACTCAGGCTGCATTCCTAGGAAAAATACTCTCCTAACTGCTTTGCCCACAGTCTGCTAGCTCTTAATTACCACAAGCACAGAGTGGTGTGCTGCTGGCTCAGAAAGAATAGGCCCCAGCTTGGGGCTTGTCTTCACAAGCTGCCCATGCCGGGACAGGGACGTGGTCTTCGTGGCTTCACTGGAACACCTTACTAGCTGCTGCCCAGAATACAGAGATGTATGTCAAGGTCTGTGTTGGCGGCAGGGCATAGCCAACATCTGTGGTCAGTGGGAACTCTGGACAAGCAGGTGCAGAGCTGTTTCCCTTTCCCAGTTTGTGTGTTGATGATGTCCTGCCAGAGAGACAGATGACTGTGATACTTTTCTGGTGGGGATGGCAGGAATCCATGGAAAAGCTGGAAGTCCTGGTACTGGAAAGTCACCCAGGTAGTGACAGATAGGGTCAGTTATGCAACTTCACCCCTGAAAGCACACCGACTGAGCCTGGATCATGACTCCCTTAGGCTTTCCAGCAGCCCCATGAATGTGGAGTCTGTTGCCAGGATCCTGGGTTTTGCTTGTTTGTTCTTAGAGGCCCCTGGCATGGCTGGCTTGGTCATGTGACTGACAGCTTCCTGTGCTCTCCCACCTTTTTCTCCTTTCCAAGTGTTTTTGATAATCAGGTGAGTTTTTATTATACAGAAGTATTTATCTTTTTATCTTGTTTCCCCTCCAAGATAGTCCTCACAGGTTACTGCTAATAAGAAATTTTACCTCCTAGATTTAGTTTAAATGTTGAATTTTTGTGATTTCTGTACTCACTGGGGACAGTGGCAGTATCTTAATAAAATTTTATTAATTTAATACCTGGATTTTTATGGCATCAGGGATTTTTCTGCCAGATGACAGAGACCAAAGTAAGACATATTTGCTGTCAAGGTTTAAACCTCTACAAACTGATTCTGTGGCCCAACTTAATCATCCTGACTGGAAACTTATTTAACTGAAACCGTCAGTCAAAATCACACAGAAGGATCTTATTTCTGAGACTTTGAAACTGTAAATATCACTCCAAACCTTGAATTTCAAGTCATAGCCACTTGTGTTTTCCTACTCATTGATTTTTCAACATTTCCTTGCTCCTTTTCTTCACCTGCCTCTCCATCCATCCATCTATCCATCCATCCATCCATCCATCCATCCATCCCCTTGCCATGTCCACCCATCCATGTGTCCATCTTCTGTCCGCTTGCTTATCCATCTCTTCTCTTTCTTTCTCAAACTAGCATTAAGAACTTGTAAGGTCCAGGCTTGGTTTGAGGCAGTGCTCCCAGCATCTGTCCTCTTACAACTGACAAATAATTAACTTATTAACTCCTTTTAACAAAGGATCCATTGTCAGAGTTTACCAAAATCTTTTCTACCTTCCTTCCATCAAGTGCTTCCTGCGTAGCTTCTGCCTGCCACATGCAATGTGTCCTTCAGCAGGGACCAGAACAGAAAGGAAAAGAGAGAGTAACCACATCCACAGACCTCACCTCATGGAGATTAGGCTGATCAGCAGACTTTCAAAACAATGCACACATATAAAATATAACTGTACACATTATGAAAATCACTTAGCTCTTAGTCATATCACCTAAATTGAGTCTTACAAAGCCAAGGCCCGAGGTGTTCAATGCTGAGTCAGCTGTGAAATTCTTTGAAGTTTCCTGGTACCAAGCACAACATAGGAAACCACATTATTTACTTAGATATTTTCATCAGTTAAAATATAGCATATGTTGTGCTAAGGAACCTGATCTTTAGTTACTAAGAAAAACTCGCACAGAGTTTTCATAGGTCATGGATGATGGGCAAGATAACAGCTTCAACCTCTCCTAGCAACCATAGCTGTCTGTAAGATAGCAATAGCAATAGGGTTCTGTTCCACTGTCCTCTAACCCTCTGCATGCAGGTGATGTCTGCTGCGGATCCTGAAGGAAATTTTTGGAAACGTTAGAGAGCCTTGTGAAGGGGAGGCACAGAGAGCTCATAGACAGCGTGCCCATTGAGTGGTCCTGAGCAGGTCACTCAGATCTGTAAACCCTTCCTTTCTCTCTCCTCCCTCCCCTCTCATTGCACCTGGGCCTCCCTTGGAGACCTTGTATCTGACAGCTCTGGCAGTAATGGGTGCTATCAAAGTCACTGAGGATGGGAGATGGGAGAAGGAACGTGTTTACTCCTCATGATTGTCCTCTGGCTTCTCACCGCCCACAGCAATCCATGTTCTCCACAGAGAACCCCTGCAGGCTTTGTGTTAGATTTCCTTAAAGGATACTGTTTGAACCAAAATGTATTTCATAGCCAGTAGATGCCTTCCTCATCTGTTACCTACTTTCACCTATCTTTCTAGAATAAACAGTTTGACATGGACCTCATTCACAAAGAAAGAGACAGAGAGAAGGACTGCCCTGTGCTTTGGCTGGGACTCCAACTCCCTGGCTCTCGCACACCCTCGCTGTCATTGGTCTAACACCTCATCAGTACTTGGCACTTCTCCTGTTGTCCATGTATTTGCTGTGCTGGCCTTGGGTCTTGGCAGATAGGTGAACTGTAAATAATTTCTCTTTAAAATGGATCAACTTGTCATTTTTAAGCCACATGAATTCTTTTCATCATTTAAGCTCCTAAGTGCTGTCTGTATTCATTTGCTCTTCTGAGCAAATATTTTCAATTCACTTTGTGAGTGCCTCCATTTTTAAACCATTCTGTGCAATACTGATGAGATGATTTTTTTTTCTCCTGTTTCCAAGTCTTAAAAACCACTGTATCTTCCCAATTTTCCTGTCCTGACAGCATGTAGTATGAGAATCATTCATTTCAGGGAGGCTGGCACAGGTTTATTTTTGAAAGATCTTGCAATACAAGTTTATGGCCAATGTATCGCCAGGAACTGTTATGGAGGTTTTAAAATTCAGCCCATTTCCTTCTTTCTAGTTGGCTGTGATTTCAGACTCAAAAATAAAATTCTTGCTTCAAAAATACCAGCACAGTGATGACAGTTTTGGCGATGGCTAAGCCAACCTGGGATACCACTTTCCAAGCCTTCTCTGCAATGCAGTCTTGGGATCTCCTTCCCCTCTCTCCCTTCACACTGTTAGTGACACCTGTTGGATTTGGCACCAAAAGTCTTCACCTCGCTGCTCCTCACCTTCATCACTACTCCTGTGCTAACACGAGCCATCTCGTGCTTAGTGGACTCAAGTATCGCTTCCTTTCTGGCCTGTTACTGCTTTCCCCACCAACCTGTTCCTCCCAGGAGCCAAACCAAACTCTAGAAACACATCGGCCCTTGTGTCATCCCTGCTTAAATTCGGGCGTGGATTCTCTTCAACTAGGACATAATTCAAGCTCTTTCAAGAGTCTACAAGGCTCTTGCCTCATTAGGCCTCCACGTTCCTCTCATGCTGCCCCATCCCTCTGCTATGCCCATGTGACCTTTTGGGTCTCAAATATTCCCAGCTCATCTTTGTTTTGGGGACCTAAAACATGCTGTCTCCATTAATGCTCTTCAATGGGCATCTGATTACCTGTAACAGACAGTAGTACGTTATTATCAACAGCAATCATTGATTACTGTCTGTCTCCACACATCAGATACATACTGAGGTTTCACTTGCAAGAGGCCAGGTGTTGTTTTTGGTCCTTTTTATCCCTTATACTCCAATACATGATGGATGATCGGTATACATTATTGGAGTGAATACATGTGTTAATGTCTGATCATTTCCGTGATCACTGCAGAAGGGTGCAGTCTAATATGCTCCCTTGATGCACCAGGCTCATCTCTGTTCATGTCCTTAGTGTGTACAGGGCTCCTTTAATAGGCTTGAGAGTGCTTTAACTCTATAGCTCCCTGTCCTTGGGCCATTGTCTCTCCTAGGAAGGTGAGGTGTCAGGCCACCACAGTCAATTCAGATTTGACCCTGTGCAGAGAGCGTTTACTTTCACTGTCCAAGCCTTTGGGGAGGTAATCCAGGAAAGATTTTAATTTGGGAGATGCATAAATGTAACATTTCTCCTTAACAATTCTGGGCTTTAACATAAAAGGAAATACCATAAACACTTAGCATATTCACAGACAATAAAAAGTCATATTTGAAACTTTTATACATATACACCACAGAGCAGAGCTTCACAAAACCCGGAGTTCCAACAAGGTGTTCAGTACAGGATGCATCTTCACTTTAGGGGTCTTCATAATTGATTTGGAAAAGGAACATAAAAGGAAGCTAAACCTTACCAAGACGAAAATCAAGAAATCTTGCAAACGTTGGTGTGTGGAACCCATGAACACACCATTTGCGTGAGCCAGCCCACGGCAGTGTAGTGGAGGTAGTTTTTGGAGGATGTTCTCAGGATGTCCCTTTACTTTTATTTTCCAAATTGAGAGACCAAGTTTAGATGGCATTTAAGAGGTACTCAGAGGTGCAATTTGACTGAGAAATGATTTTGCAATCTCATTCCAGATTGTATCTGTCGTTTTGTGTTAAATTGGACCTAAATGAGTCATTTACTGAGGAGGTGACAGAGGCTGTTATAATTTGAAGAATGACCGGAGTATTTGCAGTCGGCTTTGCTTGCACACTCCCTTTATGGCCAAGCCATCTCTTTAGTTAGACTTGGGATCCAGATCCGCTGTGGCAGAGATTTGTTGTCCTGAGCTAGATGTCACCCTGTGCCTACCACATGTGTGGGTCTGCGTGGAAAAGCATTTAGGCATTTTCTGCAATGGGGGCATCAGCCATTTCCGTCAGACCCTCTCAGCGAGGCAGAGTTGCCAGAAAGGTATTTTCTCAAGTTTAGTAAAACCAGTGGAGTAGATGTTGAGGCAGGCAGTGGGGCAGGACTGCAGAGTGACCCCAAGGAGGAGACAGCAGCACAGCACGGAGCCTGTCCTCGGGTCCTGCTGTATGTGCAGTTTCAGCCCAAAGGCAATGAGAATTCAGGGTTAGAGACTTGATGGAATGAATTCACAGCTGATGGACCTACTAGGCACTCAGGTATCTGATTTGAGAAAACAAAAGAGGATGGACATTGGAATCATAGTGACTCCTAGGGCAAACGCACAGGTCCATTATTTATTGAATGATTTGTTCTTACAATTCCAATACCCTACCCTTCCAACAGAAACAAAAAGTAACAGTTTCTATTTACTATTTACCAATGTTCATTTCAAAATGAAGATGGCTTTAATTTTTCTCTTGATTATAAAAATATTCTCTGTGCATTATAAATTTAAAAGCCACAAGCAGTGCTAAGAGAGAAGCCCCACCATGTCTCTCTGTGCGTCTGGTACCTGCTCCCACCAACCACAAGCAGGTGCAGCTCACCAGGGTTTATGATAAACCTTTGTAATAAACAATTGGAAAGGAAAAACATTCCTATGCCTATGCAAAATTGAATAGTATTGTGTCTGTCTTTAACATTTTCTTACCCTGAAACTCTCCAGCATGTTTCCCAGGGAAGCTAGAGGCCAGTTCTGGTCTTCTAGAGAGAGGTCAGACAGCTGACCCTGAGAGCTGAGTCCACTCTTGGCGAGGAAATGTAGAGGCTGGCTGAGGCTCTTCTCTCTCAGGTCCAGGTGATGCCAACACTTGAGCAAACACTTTGGTCTTGTGATGGTGTTTGTCCTCTGAGTGAATTCAGCTACTCATACAGTTTTACCAAGCTTAGAACGAGGTTCTCAAATCTTCTATTGACACAGCAAGTATCATTTTCCATGTCCCATTTTGGCTTCATTAAACACATGGCCAGTTTTCTTTTACTTTGAATCTTTGCCAAAACCTGTGGTCAAATCTATAATAATCAAAAGCAAATGACGCCTCTGTCTTTCCTGAACTGTCTTCAGATACTTGTTTCAGAGCAAGGACTGAAAGGGGAGGAAATGGAAGAACCTGAGAATTAAATGAAAGAAATTGTGGAAATGTCCAGTGGAATTGCAGGGAAAAGAAAGATGGGGTAGGCCTCCAGGAGAGAACCGGAAGACTGGAGAGGAGTGATTGTAACACCCGGTGGAAGAACTTGAGGGACCTGAAATATTTGATGTCAAATTTCTTGTGAATTGCTCTAAAAGTGTAAGGTGTACAGGATTTGTAAGAGGGGATTGAAATGCTTTCCATGCTCTTCAGCCAGCAAGTACAGTGATGGAGAAGGCAGAGATCTAAGACATTCACTTTCAGTTGGGGAATCTATACACCTGGCTAACCACAGTCTTTTACTGGAGAACTGAAATCATTTTTCCCACCCAGGATTTTTCCTCCCAGTGTGTTTTGCTCTTTGTTTATAGTCACCATTCAAAGAGCATTTCATACCATGGCAAGAAGTTTTGCTGAGCTAGTTTAAATGAACAGAATTTTGCTTATTGTATTAAAATTTAAATGGAATTCCTCTTTGAACATTGCTTATACTCTGGACTAGTTACAAGTCTAAGAAGGCTGACCTCCAAAGTTAACCCAAATACAAAGCTTGATTTTGAATTTCTACCAATAGTATTAGCAGTTCAAAGGTGAAATGCAATGCCTGAAAAATTGGCCAGAAGTTATAAAAACTCTTCACATGATAGGTACTTATCTGCCTGTAAGTACACCACACACATAATGAGCAGTCCGGCTGTCTAAAGCTCAGACCTCTTTCTCCTGGGCTCTGACAAACCTTTAGAGAGGAGGTGATGTTGTATTATTAACAGATATAGCACATGAAGTCCCAACGAACATTTTAGTCCAATTGTATTTCTTCTAGATATTATTGCCTTACAACCAAACCACTCATAGAATTATGTGGTGTGTACTTTTGTCAAGACATGAGGGTGTTAAAACTGATACACCTTGCAGTGAACAAACCTGATGTCTCAGCCGAGAACCTACAGTGAAAATTGGATTTGTTTTCCACTGCTGCCCCAAGAACAGTGTGGCTTGTGCTTATGTCTGTGTTGTCTGCCCCGGTATCTGTCTGCCAGTCACTTGGGGATTTATCTGCATTTAGCCTTAATGGAGGAGGGTGGAAGCCCAAATGCTGTTGATGTATTTCTGTGTGCATGTACAGAAGCAGTGAACAAAGACACACTGGGTGGACACTCACTCAGAGAACCAGAGTAATCTTCTGTTCTTGGCCCTCTCACCTGCTTCCTTTTAGCAACCACTGGAGAGGAAAGACAGCCAGAATAGTTCTCAGCACAGTGTTTCCAGTCACCGGAGCCTGCACACATCATCCCCAAGCCACAGCGCGCAGGTGCTCCCTGAGTACCCACCCGCAGAGGCCCCTGCTGCTGAGCAGACTGACAGCTCTGGGCAGAAAAAACCGGATCCTTTTAAAATCTGGGCCCAGTCCAGGAGCATGTATGAGAACCGACGTGAGTAAACCCTGGCTCCTGCCATCCCCAGACCCTCCTAGGCCTCCAATTGTCCCCTGTGGCACCCTGAAAATGGAAGCAGGTAAACATACATCAGAACAGGAGAGTAAGCAGATGCTGTGAGACATTCATGGAGATGCCATTATGTCTTCAGTTTGGGGAAGGGGTAAGAAAGGCCAGTCATCAAACATCAGGTACACAGGACGCGAGAGAGGCCTTTCCTATGCACCAACCCTTGGAAAAAAAGTGATTTTTCTCTTTAGTCAAAAACAGAGCCAGATAAGAGCTGCTGTATCATTAATTCCTGCCTGAGGAGAGATCATGGCACCCTCTGAACTTGTGTCTTGTGAAACAACTCTGATTCAGTAGAGTAAATTTCATTACAGGCTTTCTTACTGGTCTCTTGGTTTTTTAAAAATACTGCTAGTTTTGTATACAATTGTCAGCCTTTCTAAACATTCTCCTCAAGAAATAACAAACAACAGTGGCTAATTTGCATGTTGCTTATTTGCACAATGTTTATGTGTTCTTTGGTTTTTACCTTTTTTATAAAATATATAAATCTCATGTGCCCTTCATGCTTAACTTCTTTCTTTTTCTTATGAAATGATTGCCACAGACTACTCACCCTAAGTGGCATTCATGTACGTGACCAATGAAATTCCTGAACTGCTGGAGTTTTGGGTGGCTCAGATCCGCCCTTGTTCAGGGCATTGCTGGCCCCTATGTGTTCTGAGTGTGACTTATTGGGAAGGCCTCCTGGCCCTTTCTTCCCCTCCTATTTTCTTGTTGTCAGGGGTTGGAAGAGAATGGGGGGGGGGGCCTCACTGGAAGAAGGGCTGAGAGCTGTCCCTGCCTCCCCTGGGCAAAGGTTTTGATCCAGCTGCGGTCACCCCTCAGACGGCCCCCATGGAGGGTCCTCACAGAGCAGCTGGGTGAGGAATGGGGCAGCCCAGCCTCTTGCCCATCACTGTGCCATGTTCCTTTGGTGACTGAAGATTGTGGTGGGAAACTACAACTGCTCTGTGAGCCAAAGAAAAGAGGAGAGTGAGGCCCCAGCACTCCTGGCTGAGAAGGAAAGGCCACTACACCCGTAGGTCAGAGTCAAAAGTAGGGGCACAAGGGACTAAAATTGCTGAGGGACTACCATGCTTTTCCCCCAGCAGGAGAAATACCACCTTCCTACTACCATAGTTCACGTTAAGTATGTTGTGTGGCCAAAAGCTACCATGCTCTCGAAGCCTTGCAAATCTGCAAAGGGAGCTATTCACTCCCTGAAAGTATCTGGAGGCCAAGCAGAAGAAAAGACATTCCCTTTGCGATGTCCTACACATGCAGTAGATGCAAGTACGGGCTGAGTATTCCTCCCCAAAATGCTAGGTACCAGAGTGATTTGGAGTTCAGATTTTCTTCAGATGTTGAAAAATTTTCATAAATATAATGAGATATCTTGGGATTGGAACCCATGACTCAACATAAAATACACTCATAATTCATATATACCTGTACACATAGCCTGAAGTAATTCTATATAGCATTTAATGAGACAAAGTTTCATGTTCTGGAATTTTCTACTTTGGGTGTCATGTCACACTAGCCAACATTGTAAGCCTGTCCTGCTTTAGAGAGTCACACTTACCAATTTGGAGTGGGTCATCTAGCTCTTTTATTGTAGTACATATAAGGAGCTTGTATGACCATCTAGATATTAAGACCTATGATGACACTTGTTCTTTGTGTGTTTGTTCAGATCTTGGACAGATTCAGTAATTTATGCCTTTAAACATATGACTATTCTGGTGTGAACGGCCTAGAATTCACCTGGACAAATAGTACAAGAACCACTTCCTTAAAAACTCCCTTAAATAAATGCTGTAGTATAGCAGTGGGACCAATATACTTAAATTTTTTTAGAAAGGTAATAAGGATTTAGACAAACGAAGAGTTCATGCCATGATTGAGGCAAGGTCATTTGAGAATATGTGCTATACAGTCTAATTAAATATGAAAATTTTAAGATGTTACTGGGAGTCAAAGGAAATTCTGAATGGTATAATTATAAAGTCTAACTTTTTGACAAGTATAGCATAATGGAAAAAAAGGAAGAAAAAATGAAATCAAACTAAGGCTTAGAATCCATGGCAGCCATGGCCTTTATTTTGAAAGCTGAACTGCATATTACCTTATTAACCACAGCTAAATTAAAATGAACTGAGAGAAACAACATACATTAAGCTTTGCAAAACTGTGAAATTAATATTCCAGCTATGTCACCTTCACCTGCACCGGGATTGAGCAAGGGTGAAAGAGAGCGAGAAATCAGTTCCACGAATTTTGGAGAATGTCAGAGTAAGGCACTGCTGCAAACCTGTACTTCTCCATCATCACCCATCCTGTTTGATGTGCCCATGTGTCGGGAGTCTGGGGAGGTGACAGGGAGGGAACAAAAAGTGCCATGAAGGGCAGCCTGTCTGTGCTCTTGTTGGCCAAGCAAAACCCAAAGCCAGCATGAGATGAGAAGCATGTCCTTGTCAAGTGTGCTATGCTAGTGTGTCTGTAGCAATGGAGACACCTGAAGGCATCTCTTCAGAAGTGTGGCTCCACTGTCTCCAACCATCAAAGAAAGTCTTTTGGCTACTTGATTGAGTCATTATTGGCATTACCAAAAGGAGTTGTGCTGTTAACAGGGTTTCCTGTGAGAGGACTTTCATACCACTTGACACGATTTCTTAGTTCTCTCAGATCAGCCTCACTACAAAAATAAAGTGATATCAAATCAAAGAGCCTAATCCCACTGCTTCCTAATAACTTAATTCTAATAAGATCTGATTAAATTAACAAACCATTTAAAGGAATGGTGTCGAAAGAAATTTTACAACCTTTAATAATTTTAGTACTATGTATCATCAAATGCACATACCTGAGTAAACAGCATCTAATTGGCAGTGGGGTAAATAGTTAAAACTCCAAAAGTAAAGCACCAAAAGACCTTCTTTGTATCCTAAATGTGTGTCAGTGTTTGTATCTACATTTTCCAGCTCATTCCGGTATCTTTAACATCTGGAGTGTCATTGGGCATCTTTTCAACAGAAAAATCTTTTGATAAATGTCCCAACTTCCCACTGATTCTCAAAAGAAAATATGCTTTTTTTTTCCCCCTGTGGACTAAACTGTGATAAGTGTAAGTGTGCTGGCCGTGACCTCCCATACCATGATAGCTGACAGCTAAGCATGCAACATAAGGCAGTTCCTTCTCCGTGCAGCCTTGCCATGGGGTGGCCAGATCCCCCCACGTTAAACGGAGCCAGGCTAGAAGTCTGCAGAGGGCCTTCCTGCGCACAGAAGACCTCAGCATCCTTGCAGACTTCACGGGCTCTGCCAGCAGCTTAGTGCTGGCTGGAAAGCAGCAATGGTCTATTAGGGTAATAATCTTCCTGCTTGGATGAACCAAAGACGAGACACTACTTGATTTAATTTGTTGTCTCAATGAGGCTATTACAGCAAATACCTTTTACCCAACTACTCAAACAAGAAAAAAATATATTGTTACCTTCGTGTACTCAAGAAGATATTACTCTCCAATTGTTTTTATGGGAGTCTAGTGATATAACTGATTTCATGTTCCATGGTGTTTTGCTGCTTAGGCTCAGCAATTATAATAAAAAAGATTGAATGAAAAGCACACATTTACAGCCATAGCATTAAGGTAACTCAAGCAAAAAATATTATATATATATATATATATATATATATATATATATATAGAGAGAGAGAGAGAGAGAGAGAGAGAGACCTACCTATCTATATTTCAGGTCCAGAGTCCTCCAATTGGCACTTAACCACTCATTCTGTTGTGATTTCCTCTCCCTTGGTACATTCACTCACTGTGCATCCTAAATATTGGGTGAGTCACTACACAGAGACAACTCTTGCCAACATGAAATCTGAAGAGTCACCTTCTTTGCTAGCCCATTGTAGAAAATTGGAGAAGACAAGAATTAAAATTTCAGGCCTGTGCCCAAAAGCCAATTAAACACACCAGAAACTACACAGAACAGTATTTTAAGATCTCCTCTTGTGATTCACTGGAACTAAATGGTATTTGTTCTCCATAAATAAAAGCTGTCATACTTTGTAGGCTATAAAGCACCCTAAGTATACATGAAAATATTAAGAACTAAAGTAACACTTTTTATTACCTTAGAAAAGTAATAAAAAGTGGTATGTAGAAAAATTTGGGGTATAGTAAGGACTTTCTTCTAGAAATTTCTTTTTAAAAATGAGATTTTTCATTTAAATACCTGGACTATTACTGACATAAAATGTCAGGTTACTACTAAAAGTTAATACTAATAATTTTGAAATATCATAGGCAGATTCTGGAGTAAAGCAGCCATCCTAACACTGAGGTGTGATTAATATAGAATTTTTCTCAGCACTGTTAATCTTACAAATATGGAAATTGGCTACTTCTTTGTATTTGGAAATAGTAGGATGGTGGGATTTTCGTTTCTTTTTTCTGCCATGTCAGGAATTGAACCTAGGACCTTCTACATGCTAGCTAAATGTTCTACCCCTGAGCTGCATCCCAGCCCTTGAAAGTAAGATGGTTTTTTGGCAGAAATTATCTAACAAATCCAATTACTAGTGTTATGAGTAAAGAAGAAAGGGACTTAGAAATAAATTAAAAACTCTTTTAAACCCAAATCATTTCCTCCTATCTTCTGGCTGAGGAATCATCAAGTTCATTCAGCTCCATCTCCTTGCAGCAGCACTGAGGAAAGCATGGCCTTGATTAGCAGAAGTCAGGCAGTGACAGTCCTTTGAAGAACTAGGCTCAGTAACAACTGTTCTCACTGTTTGCATGGACCGAGTGTCGTCTGTCATTTCACTCATCCTCATCCTTTTATTTCTGTGCCCTTGTTGGAAAGCTTTTATCTGCTCAAACGTCAGCAGAGTTGGTCCTGTAATTGTGTTTATCTTAGTGGCATGATTCCTTTGATCAGTGAAGTAATGTGTTCCTTCTCCCCTCTCTGCAGTTCCAGATTACCAGGAACAGGACATCTTCCTCTGGAGGAAAGAGACTGGATTCGGATTTAGAATTCTAGGTGGAAATGAGCCGGGGGAACCTGTGAGTGCTTCCTTCTCTCTGCAGCGCTGCCTGCTAAGACTTCAAAGCAAATTAGGGGTAGTGACAGGGCACCAGGGTTAGATCAGGGCTAAGATCCAGCACCCACTCTTTATCTTGAGTAGTATGGACTTGCTGGATTTAGACGGAGTGGGCAGGGCGGGGTTCTTTCTGTTCCCAAGAAGGAGGGACAGAATTCTTTCTAAAGTTTGTGTTAATGTTTATGGAACACAGCACCCATGGCACCTGGAGGTCCCCAGAAAGGAAAAAAGAAACAGAAAGCAAAATGGAGAGCAATAAGAAAGGTCTCTGTCTGACCACTCTGCTGGATCTGTGCACAGGCTGGCGCTCAGCACGTTGGTAGCTGCTGCACAGATCGCCTCCCTGGGCAAATAAGAGATAGAGAATGCAGGACCTGCTCTGTATGGAAGCAGGGAATGAACCTGCACAGGGGTTGGATGACAGGCAACCTCCCTGAGCCTCAGCTGCCTGAACTTTAAAAAGTTCAGCATAACCTGGAGGATTCCATTGAAAGGAGCAGAAAGAACTAAATATCAGTATTGCTGATTCGCTTGGGATATTAATAGCTGTTATTCATTGACATTGACCACTGAATATGTGCCAAGCCTTGGGCTAAAGACTTCCAATAGACATTCTGTCATTATCAAATCTGGGCATTTATTCCATTTTTAAATTCAGAAAGACACATAAAGGTTAATTAACTTGCCCAAGATTACAGAACTAGTAAAAGGAAGCACTGATAGGAGCCCTATCATTGGCCACTGTTTTCCCCAAGTTTCTCATAAATGCTCAGTATTGCATAAATGTAATTGTAGTGTTGTTATTTACTGAGAAAACAAGGCAACAGAAATATTTTAGGTCAAGTTTAGTGACTGAGAATTACAGCGTTAAGTCATTAAATATAAAAACTGCAGAAATCATAATGTCACATTAGATTTTGTTTAATTAATTAATCTAACAACATTTATTGGGCCTGCCCTATTGTTAGGAATACTGCTGGACCCTTAAGGAAAAGTAATACTACTATTGTAATTAGTTGAGCTTTATGAAAAGGAGGTTCTTAGGTAAATACGAAAGGAGAAATGTTTTTATAGATGAAGAAATGAAGTGATCAGATGTGTCTACAAGGGAAACAAGAAAGAATGAGTCATCACTAGAGCACTGCTAAACAGCAAGGAGCCCAGCAGGACACTAGTGTTTCAAAATGGTCACAGCACCTACAGAATGCTGTGGACACCTGGGTACTTCCTGAATGTCTATGGTGTGGGTGCAGACAGGAACGAAGGAGTGAACTATTCCAGGAGATGTGAAGGGCGTCAGTGTAGGAGTAATCCAAAAGGGCAACATGTCATCCATCATCCAATTACTCCACAGATTTACATCGGTCACATTGTACCACTGGGCGCTGCTGATACAGATGGTCGCCTGCGGTCTGGCGATGAGTTGATCTGTGTGGACGGGACACCGGTAATAGGGAAATCACACCAGCTCGTGGTCCAGCTTATGCAACAAGCAGCCAAGCAAGGCCACGTCAACCTCACAGTGCGGCGTAAAGTGGTGTTCGCTGGTAGGTTTTTCATTCATTCCTTCAGACAGTGCGCTGTCACTTTCCTGTCTGCTTCCTCAGGCTTTCCTTTCAGCAAATGTTTGCAAATGTGATCAAGTTCAGAATTTCCAGATGGTTTACTTCTCTCCAACGCTACAAAACTGCTGTCATTCAAAAGTACTTTAGTGTGCAATTTGCATGTGTTCAGCAGAGGCTTCTAGAAGGCTGTTGAATACATATTACCTACCTCCCATCCAACCAGAACCCAGCAACCCTCTTATGTTATGATAATTCTCAACAGAAGAGGTCATCTGAGACATCTGAAAAGTGGTAGCTTCAAATTAAGTGGAAAAAAAATAGGTCTGTACTATAAAAAAAATAATAAAAATAGTCATGCTGTGGGCTGGTCTTACTGCACCCTGTTCTTGTTGTATAATTGAAAACCCATCTTTTCTTTTTACCCCTGCAGAATAGCTAGAGAGCCAGTCATTGTTTCTTCCTGCTGTCCACAGCCTGCAGCCAAGTTCTCAAGACACTACATTCCGTTTTAGGTTAGGCTTATAAAGGGCCTTTCTCCCTCTGGAATTCCCTCCTCCCATCAGCTGTCTTCAGTTTGAACATTTCTTGCCATTCTTGGAGCTCATGATTTACTTCTGTGTCAGATTCCACCATTTGAGAGAACTAATTGAGTAAATGTCTGTGCTGTCCACTAACTTATCAGTGTGACTTAATGGCACCAATTTGTATGTGGTTCCCACCTCAAGCCTTTAAGACAAAACCTAGAATGTGGGAGCAATTAAGTAGTATTAGTTGAATACTGAAGAAATATGGTATGAAATATTATGAAAGTGCCATAATATTAGTGTAATGAATACCTATCATAAAATTAATTGGTAAATTATTAAAAAATAGTATAATGATATATAATTAGTAACAGAATTAACATATTAAATAGCGGTGTGAGCACCCTGTCTACTGCAGCCAGGGAAAACAATACCAAATCAACCATATCTCATGTCCCTAGAGTCTACTGGTGACCTCCAAATCCCTCAGCATAATATTCATGCAGCCTGTGGCAGTGAGCTAAAACAGGATTTTGAGATGAGCTGAAAAGTATTTGACTTCCAAGACCCAAATAAAAATAGGAAGGCATCGTGGTTTCTTGTTTTAAGCCCATTTTAAAAATCTTAAGTCTTTGAATTTTTGACTCAGCATAAAGAACATGCTAAACCTAAGGAGAGACTGTAATATGTTAAGGGAAATAAGCCAAAGGCCGAGTCCTGCATGACTCCCCTTCCCTGAGGTTCCTGGAGACCAGGGCAGTGATCACCAGGGGCTTGTAGAAGGAGGAAATAGGAGCTGGTCGATGGGGCAGCATTTCAGTAGGGAAAGATGCAAAGTTACAGAAATGAATGTGGAGGTTGCACAGCAGTGTGAATGAACTTACGCCACTGAACTGTACAGGTAAAGATGCTTAAAATGGTAAAATTTGTTACTTATATTTTTCCACAATTTAAAAAAAAATCACAAAAGGAGAAGCTTCAAGAAATAAATCCGGCTGGACTCACAGCTGGCCGTAGCAGATATTTTGCTTTTGGCATGGTTGGTCCCCCTTAGTCTGTTGGCCATGGGGTACATTATGAAGACGGGTGACACAGCAGGAAGCCAGTGCCTGTAGTCAGTGGTCGGAGTAGACACAGGTCTGACAGGGGAGGAGAAGCTGAACGCGCCTCTCCCGGGTGGACATGAGTTTCATGTGTGGAAACTTGGACGTCCAGCTCCCAAGTGTGACTCTCCGGAGACAATACTTGAGATGTGTGGCCGCGCCTGTAAAGCCAAGGCAGTGGCTGTCCTTGTGCGCCGCGGAGACTCAGTGTGGGCGGGTCTTGCCGCACCCTGGCATCTGAGTGTGGCAGATGTCTGCCCGGAAATGATGCCCACCTTGGGTGACCTCTTCGGTGCATGGGACCAGCATTCATGGACAGTGGCATTTAATTGTGAGGAGGAGCAGGTGTGGTTCCCACCTGTAACACAGGGCGGGTAACTCAGAAGGGTCATGCCTAGCCTGTGCCACTGAGACCCTGTCTGACTGTCAGAAGGGCCTGGGATGCTGGCCTGTCCCCACCTGCTGCCCATCCCATCGCCGTGGGTGTGGGGCCGCCTCCGTGGGCGCCGCCCTCCCTCAGCCCTGCCTCTGTTGCAGCGCCCAAGCCCGCCGAGCCCGAGGTGCCTTCGCCCGCGTCCTCGCACCACAGTGGCACGCAGCCGGCCTCACTGGCCGAGGGCAAGCGCACGCCGCAGGGCAGCCAGAACTCGCTGAGCACCGTGAGCTCGGGCAGCGGCAGCACCAGCGGCATCGGCAGTGGGGGCGGCGGCGGCAGCGGCGTGGTGAGCACAGCCGTGCAACCCTATGACGTGGAGATCCGGCGCGGCGACAGTGAGGGCTTTGGCTTCGTCATCGTGTCCTCGGTGAGCAGGCCCGAGGCGGGCACGGCCTTCGGTGAGTGCCGGGCGGGCGCGGGCAGCGCAGGCTGCACGGTGCCTCCGCGGGGTCACGGTGACCTGGGCCCAGGTGCCTGGCAGCCTCTCCCTTCACTCTGAAAGATCGTGCGCATAACCAAGCACTTAGCAGACTTGCCTACAGTTTGATTAGCAACGCTTTGACAATATGAAGTATCTGAAATGTTTGCAAGAGAAAGGTTGTGGAAAGGTCCTGAGCAGTTCATCAGCCATAGAAATGCCCTCCGAGGATCTTCAGTGTTTTAAACAGAGCATGGGTGTAAAAACCCCTCAGCATCATAAAGTGTGACGTGGGCTTCTTGGCCCATCTTTTCTGTGGCCTCTCTCATGCCCTATCAAGTGTTTCCAAAATTGTAAATATGATTTTACTGTTGCCTGAGAATCTGATTGAAATCGGAGTTCACAGTCAGTTGATTTGAGACTCATCCATATGTGGAGGTTTTAGCAGAGTATGGAGAAACAGTTCACCCCCTCATTAAAAGTTAATGCTGCTGGGTACACAAGCAGAGAGAAACAAGACTCTAAATGGCTCCAGAAACCACTCATCTATCACTCTTTCTTGTTACAGTGAGTTATAAATGGGTTACAAATGGGTACTCCAAAAGTTAATCCACCTTCCTGGTTAGATTGTTTTTAAGTCCTCTGTCGTCTCCAAGCACATTTGTTTAACTGGTGTGGAATGTGATGGAGCCTTGACATTTGCCCTTGACCACTGTATCCTCTCATGACCAGTGGCATTGCCCCCTGACTGGCTAAAATCACTCACTGCTACATCCCTGGAGAGTTCTGATGCTGTAGAGCTCAGCTGCCTTACTTAGCCTTGATAAGTCGCTTCCTGCAAAAGCCCACCAGCCCAGGCCTGCATTGGAAGGGGACCCTCAGCCGGGCTAGGCATGCATGGCTGCAGTAGGGAGCCCCTGTGACTAACAGTCCTTCCATGTGCTACACTAACAAAGTTACTGCAGCACGGCATGACCCAGGCAAGAAAGCCCAGGTGTTTTCTTCAGATCTTGAATTTAACTGCCCCATACCCTATGATGTACTTGGGACTGTAGAATTCTCCCTGTCGTTCTCTTGGGAGAAAGCAAGTATGTTGGGTGCCAGGCTATGTGTTCTGTGATGAATATGGAATGTCTTACTCACGATTTGGTCCTTCATTATTTTCTTTTGGTTTTTACAATCAATGAATCAGACTTCCCCTAACACCTTGCATGAGACTTGAGAGCTTTCCTCACACCTGCCGTTTCATCCTTTCCTCACGCCCTTGTGCTTGGAAATGAACTGACTTAATCAAGGTCTTAAATGAGTGTGGATATTCCCTACTACACCTACTTGCTGAGTTCCAGTAGGCAGTTGTTCCTTTGAGGTCCTTTGACTTGATGTCACATCCAGTGCCACAAACTCAGGCAAATCTGCCAGAAATCAAAGGAATCTGAGTGTCTTTTCCCACACGTTGCCCTTCAGGCCTAAGTGATAGTGGAAGAGCCTCTCATTTAGCTCCATTGTCTCCCTGTTAACTTTGTAGCCCGCTCCAAAGGTACTCACCTGCATAGCTGTCTTCATGGTTCCCAGACAGCTCTTAGTAGGTGAGTATGTGTAAGAAGCATGCCAACCCCACAGCAGGCCTTCAAGGCCCCTTCCCTCATGTCTGCAGGAGCTAGCAGGGACACTGAGCATGTCCAAGTCACAATAATTCAACTCGACGCAAGGCACTTTTTCTGGTAGTTCATATCAAAGTTGTGCAGTGGCTGATGAAGAGAAAGGAAAGAGAGTGATTTGAGCCGAGCTTTGGATCAGGGTCATCAGCCCAAGTGAGTCCTAGATTTTCACATCCCTTCAAGAGGACTTTTGTGAGGCAGGAGGAGGATTTCAGAGTGGAGCAGCCAATCAGAGCCTGCCTGGAAACTGCGTGAGATGGGCTGAGTGGGTGGCCGTCCATAAGGAAAGCTGTGTGTCAAGTTTGGGTGTTTTCTTGACTCATCTCTCAGGATTTATACCCTTTTCCTAAATGACCTGTAATTTTTAAATAGAAGGCAGAAAGTGTTGGCTCATGAGATGATTTCAGATTAAATGTCTGGTTGTAGTGGACTCAGAACTTTCCAGAAACAGTGATCAGATTTCCAAATTGAGTAAGAAAAAAACATTAGGAGAGGCTTAAACAACAGCCGGCAAAAATGAAGTGACATGAACACAGGATGAGTAAAACATCTATCGAGCTCTGGGTTGGATGTGGGTAGTCCTCAAAAAAGTGAAGAACAAGTTATTTTGGGGCTTGTAAGACTCTCTGAAGTTGCTAGATACTCCCAAATCTTGTGACTGTTTTAAGGAGGGGAGCTGGGGTTTGCCCCTCATGTTGAATCAGGAAAGCACCACAGCCATGGGTTTCAGGGCAGTGGCTTCTTAGACTCTCTGAGTGTTGCCGATGTTTTGACAGTGGGCACAGAGCTCTCCTTTAATAACATTTGCTTAATGCTTTAATTAATTAACACTTAACCTTCTCTTTCCCTTTTCAACCCTTTTTCTCCTCCCTTCACCATATTCCTACGTAACTTAAAAAAATTAAAAACTCAATATCAAAGCAGGCAATGCATGTGTGGCTATGCCTCACAAAATAGGTCGGATTATTGAGGGGAGCCCTGCTGACCGCTGTGGCAAGCTGAAAGTAGGAGACCGGATCTTGGCAGTAAATGGATGTTCCATCACCAACAAATCCCATTCAGACATTGTCAACCTAATCAAGGAAGCAGGAAACACAGTTACCCTGCGCATCATTCCCGGGGACGGTAAAGTATACGTATTGTCTCTTTCTCCCTCTTCCACTCGCGCGCGCTCTTTCTCTGTGTTTTGTTAGTGCTCATGTAAGTGAGTAGCATTGATATAAAGCCAGCTTTATTATCCCTAACTGAACAGTTGCATCAGGTCAACGTGAGCCACTGTTACTAACCCGTGCCTCACCTCCTACCTGATTAATCCTCTGGTCCTGGGACCTGTCTTGCTGCAGATACAAAATACCAGAAAATCTTTAGCTTTCCTAGTTTTTGTTGTTGTTGTTGCTGTTGTTTTCTGTTTGTTTGCTGTTGGTGTCCTTGTGTTCAAAACCATAAAATAGTTTTGATATAGGTTGTAAAAGAGCCCCTGATGTCCTAGCTAGAAGTCATTACTGATTTTTTTTCAATAGTTACTGTCATTATAATATGGTAACATCACAAACCTACTTAATGAGGTAGCCCATTGCTATGGTTTTTTTTCCCTAAATTAGTATATCAAAATTTTTATTTCATGAGAAAGTTTTGGAGTTTGTGCCTACCTAATTTGTTCCTAATTTTTAGCTGCAGATAAAGAAAAAAATCACATGTCTAAGTTTTTGATAGATTATCCTACATTGAACTAGGCCTATTCTTATTTGCCTGCTTGCTTGGCTAGTTAAATGTAGGTCTTTGGTTGTTTGACAGCAGTGGCAGTTCTGCCCCCCAAGACAATTGGCACTGTCTTCTGGGGGTGCTGAGGAGCATGGAGTGAGTGGAGGCCAGGAATGCTCCCAAGTACCCTACATTACAAGAACAGCCCCCCTCAATAAAAGTACCTAGTGCTAAGTATCAGCATTCACTTTCATGTTCAAATTTTGCAAACTTGAAGTTGATATGCCAATATAAATTGTTTAGAGACTTAAATTTCAAAAATTGACATCTTCATAGGTTACCTCCACCCTCAGGAGATATGTTAGATTTCCATCACTGTGACAATACCTGAAAAAAATGAATGATATACTTCCCGTTTCAAAGGTCTCAGTCCATGGTCGGGTGACTCCACTGTGCATACCACACCTGGCTCCATTTCTGCCTTTATATATTGAGAAGAAAGTGGAAGGGAAGGCGAGGGCAACCTTTAGTCCTTTGACATGTGTGTGAGGGATAGTCAGTACAGAATACCAGCAAGAGGGCCTGCAGAGTAGATGAACATGCTGAATCTGAATTTCAACTTTGACAAGTCAAACCAGACTTGGGGCTGTGTCAGTGTCCTCTCATTCTAGGTGGGAATAAGGTTCTTATCAGACAAAGCAGGACTGGATAGAGCCAGGCTAACTTGGAATCAAGTTCAAGGTAGTGGAAGTATTTATGAGCTTAACATATATATTACTTAAATTGTGGACTTAAATTTGACCTTCAGTCTACTCTGAATCAAAGTATTTGCTTATCCAGCTTGGCAATTGGATACCACATTCTCCTTGGCAAAGGCATCTCCCCACACTTGTCACACATTTATGGGACTCACATTTTCCAGTGTTGCCTTCAGGTATTTACTACATGCATGTTCACGTTTAAAATATTAATGAAAGAAATGATTGTGTCCTTTGTTGATGAGTTTGGTTTTTCAATGTGGACTCCATAAGTGAAGTTAAAACTTCAGTCCTTTGTGCAGAGATGGATGGAAGTTCAGAGTGGAAGAAATTGTCCAAGGAGCGCATGCCCTGATCCAGAACAACCCCGTGCCAGTGCCTTGAGAGCCGAGATTTGCTTTTCTACATATTTGATTGCTAGGGAAGGTGTAGTAATACCCACTGTCATTCCTCTGGGAGAGCTACATGGGTGTAAACAGTGTTTCATAAAAGGTGTAGAGTATTTTCTGGAGTGTGTCTTTAAAATCTTCACCCTGTGCCTCCACCTTGGAGTTCTAAAACACAAGTATGATGGCGCCTCTTGTAAGATCACTGCCAGAAGGGAGGGAGACTGACACTTATTTCAGGCCCTTGTTTTATACTCTTACTTTTTTTCTGTTATACAGGATAAGTTTTGCTTGCAGATAGAACTATAAATTTTTTTTATAATGAGCTTTATCTCTATATTTGTAGAAAAGCATTTAAGCAGATACAGTCTGGGTTTCATGCCAAATGAATACTTACAAGTTTATGAAAACAAGTATATCTTCATTATCAAAGCATACTGGGAATCACGGGCATAAACATTACCTTGGTGCTCTGAAAATAGCCTGTGAAATCCTATAGTAAAACCAAGTATTTTGTATTTTAAATTAATCTGTGATAATGTTCAGTGAAGTTAGTGGTATATATGCAGTAAAATAAAAACATCACTTATTTGAAAAAAGGTTGTACCAATAAGGCATGATTTGTTTTATACTAGCACATTATGCCCATGTAAAGAGAATGAAAACCGTATTGATGGGCACTGAGCTAAATTCCCTTTACCAACATGCACTGCCGGGATGACCGTGGACACGTTCCCTACCTCCCAGTTGCCTCAGCATCTCTGTCTAAACTGGAGCGATAACTGCACCTGCTGTGCGGAGCAGTGAGACTCAGAGCAGTGTGTGTGGCAGTGACTTAGCTCAGTGCGTGGGGCACACTGGAGATGGGCAGTAGATAGGTAGCTGTTTGTACACTCAGAAAACAACAGCATGAAGAAAATCCAGAGCACAAATGGATATTTGCATATGAAATGATAATTTTTAAAATACTTAAAGTTAAGCTTCAATCCCAGATAGATTTGCATGTAAATATGATTGGATAAAGAGCAAATGAAAGATAGGAGGAAAATTAATAAAGGCATGCTGTTGAGGTATGTGTACTGAGTGATTATCTATCTCATCAAATCATGAAAGCAGCACAAATACAAAATTTGTTTGAGAACAAGATTTGATCTGCTTAGAAAATTCCAGCTACACAGCCATACAGGAACTCTAAAGGGAAACTTTTACACAATAGAGTAACTATAATCTCTTTAATTACAAGGAGACATTCTTTTTGGCATACTGATTATGATTTCCCCATGCCCCAAACAATCTTGTGATTTCCCAGAAAGTCTCCACAAAATTAATTACAGTAAGTAACATGAGGTTAAAGGACCACTGTATGGGGGCTGGAGGTTTAGCTCAGCGGCATAAGCACCTGCCTTGCAAGCAGGCAGTCGTGAATTCGATCCCCGGTACTGATAAAAAGGAAAAAGACAAAAAAAAAAAAAAAAAAAAAGGACCACTGTATGTGTTTATGAACATTTTAGCAAGTCACAGTGACAGGCTGTGCTGTTGTCTGCCCAGGATGGTGACATGGGGCAAGCTTTAGGATATACCACTTAGATGACACCTTGGTTCTGCCAGTTAACTGTCTTTGAGAGTAATAGAAGGAGTTACTGTCCTTCCAAAGGCACCAAGAAAAAATTAATAATGTGCTTTTAATATAATAATAAATACCAAAAAATGGATTGTTATCTTTAGCATTGTTAGTTCCCAGGTGCTATCTCACCTTCTTCTTGGATAGTCTTTGTACCAGTTCCTTGGATTCTTCTGTCATTGTCTTTATGCAGATAAGGAAACTGAGGCATTGAAAATTAATTTTGCATAAGTTCTATCTGTCTAATAAATTGCAGAGCTGAGAATGGAAAGCAGAATGATTCAGACCACAATATGACCTTGAAACCACTGGCTTAACCCGTGACCCAATTAGTTTGAGACATAAAACCTCCCCAAATCAGAGGGTCACAAGGCACACGGGCCTAGGAAATGCCTGCAAAGGCTACAGGGGCAACAGAATCAAACCCACAGACTCTGCTCTTTGTCATCCAGAGCTTTCCACTCTTAATTGACCATAGGTTCTTTTTCTTCAGAATTTGTAAAAATATTTATTAACATATTGTAGGGAACATTGTCCAAAAACATAACCAGATTTCATACAGCAGTTCTCTTGATCTAGCCATATTTTCTGTTAATCTTGTGCTTTGGCTATAGAGAAAATGGACTTTTATCGTTTAGTAGAAATTGTTAAAATTCCATTTAAATTTTTTCATTTCTTAGAGATCTTAAAGTTAAGATCCCATAGTAATAAACTAAAAGTCTCAATGGTAGCAAGGGCTATAACTGCAGTAAATATATTCTTCTTGCATTTCCAGGATATACTAAATATTTCCTATCTTTTAATCCATGAGAAGGACAGTATTGTCTTCATCCCCTTTTATGATAGGAGAACAATAAGGCACCTAGATAATAAGTAGGGGAGAGGAAGATTTGAATCCAGGCCTGCATCTCAAACCCATGTATGCAATGAAGATAAGATAACAGGAAATGTGACCCAAATTGAGATTGCACTGGAAGGTGGACAACAGATAGTTGTGATATGTGGGAGGTCTCTTGTTCTAGGTCTGCAGTGGAGAGAGTGGTATTCCAGGTTTCCCACTTTGAAGTACTTAAAAATGTTTCCTTGTAGAAAACTTATTTTTAATGGGTAAATATATGTACTCAACAAACACAAAACTGTTACTATGACTCATGGGAAACTTGTAGACACAGGAAAGGTGTAGGTGCACCCCAGCCCCCACAGTTAGCATTTTGTTGATGAGAAAATGTATACCAAGTTGCCAAGACGTGGAACTTCTTTATAGCTGTTGCTGCCTGCCTTGATCTTAATGGAGAAGGAATTAGCAAATGAGTATCTAACCATCACTGCGGGAATCATGTGTGTGGGTGTGTGGTCTAGTTCTGAGTATTTTCACATTCCACTTCTCCAAACTTAGAGACTAATGAAGTTGCTGATGAATGTGATCAGTGAAGAAGAAAGTCAATTTCCATAGGAATATAATCATACTCATTACACTGAGATAGCTTTGTGATTTATACGACTTACATTTACAAACTCTCGTTTTTCTAATGCACATTTTAAAATTAATCTTTCATGATTGATACTCAGTGAGATCTGTCAAGAGTTCCATACGTTGACTTGCACTTCATTAAAAGCAGTGGAGAAAAAAGTGGCTGATGCTTGCGTATCTTTAACAAGACGCTGGCACATTTCTGATCTTACTACAATATTCACATAAGGAAATCAAGCCAACTCAACAAATACTGCTGACAAATTGCAGGAAAGTTAGTGGAGACACTTCCTGTGAGCCTGTGAAGCTCTGGAAGGTGACTCCTGTGTGATGTCCCATGCGAGTGGGATGCCATCTACCCTGTTACCTCCATTGGCTGCCATTGTGGGGCAGCACAGTCTCCCGCTGACTCTGTTCCCTTTAGGGATTGTCTAATGGAGAGCAGGGAATGGGCCCAGCCCACAACGGCAAAGATAGAGCAGTTCATTAATCTCCTAGCTGTCTGGAAATTCAGGTGTAACTGTTTGGACTAGGAACAGAGAAGTCTGCATTCTGTTTTAGATTTAGGGCATCTGCACACGTCCCCATCACGAGTGTCTCCTCTGAGGCCCTCATTTCTTTATATTCCATCTTGCAGAGTCCTCGAATGCTACCTTGCTGACCAATGCAGAGAAGATCGCCACCATCACCACTACCCACGCCCCTTCTCAGCAGGGCTCCCAGGAGACCAGGTCAGCTTGGCTTGGGTTTCTTTGTGAGGTACAGGAGAAATGACTCTCAGCATGGCACACACCTCTGCGATTCTTTCCCAGCTCCCCTTTGGGTTGCTGTTATATTTATTTCTTTTTCTTTGGCAGGAATACCACCAAACCAAAGCCGGAATCCCAGTTTGAGTTCAAAGCACCCCAGGCCACACAGGTGAGGGTTGTTTCTCCTCTTTTAATTTTGTTTTTCTTTTTCTGTGTATTTTGTTCATTTCTGAGGCTACTACAAAACAGATTTTAAAAGACATCCTTAACCTAAAATAAGTAATCTTGTGTGCAATGATTTACCAATTGTGTACTTACATTTAACTGTCTAGGAAATAGACATTTCATTTTACTGCCTTTGACAAATTTTCTCAGATACCTTTTCTAGGGTAAAAACAAAATGAAATGTTATCACAAGGATCAGTGATAATGCCTATCGACTTATAGTTTTCAAAGATGTATTCCTGTGGAATGTGGTGGCACATTTGTAATCCCAGCACTCAGGAGGCTGAGTTAGGAAGATCAAATAGTGAGTTCCAGGCCAGTGTGAAACCCAGTCTCAAAAAACTAAAAAAAAAAAGAAAAGAAAATGTGTTTCTGCCAGGAAAATCTCTCTTTTGATAAGGTATCTGTTGGACTTGTGAATTTCAAGTGAGACACAGAACAAGATATCTGCTCCTTACTATAGCAATAGAGGGCACACAGATGATAGCAAGTGAAATGAATTTGAGAATATTGGCAATGTTAAATAAGTTACTTTTTGTACTCATCTCCTTGGAGCCTTTGATAGTCCACTCATGTTTCTCCCCACAGGGACCGGGAGCCATTCCCAGACGGTAGAGCTGATGTTGCCAGCCTAGCATGGCACTGCTGGCATCTGAGGAATGCATGGGTCAGGAAACAGAAATCCCAGTGGCAAATGGGTGGCATCCTGGGGCACAAGCTCACCTGTGCCCCATACAGGCATGCTCCTGAGCATTTCCAAAGTCTAGATAGCCCTCCCAGGCTAATGAGGATGATTGATAAATGATGAAGAGTCACCAAGAGAGAGCTGGAGAGTGTACCTTTTTGGCAAATTTACATAATAGAGAATGTTTGAGAAGAGATGAGGAAAAATAATTGTGGATATAAATTCTCCTAGAATTATTGCATTTAATTTCCTTAAACAGGAGCAGGACTTTTATACTGTGGAACTGGAAAGGGGAGCCAAGGGGTTTGGCTTTAGTCTGCGAGGAGGTCGGGAGTATAACATGGACCTCTATGTTCTGCGCCTAGCAGAGGACGGGCCTGCGGAGAGGTGTGGGAAGATGAGGGTAAGTTGGGAACCAAGGCGGGGTGGATGCGAGTGACCAGCTGCAGCAGCTTCTTGACACACATAGTTAGCATGGACAGGTTCCTGAGAATTCCATTTCCTGTGCTGCTTTAAGATACTCCCACACTACCCTACTATAACAGCTCTTCCTAAAGTATTGTTTGTTGTAGCTGCTAAATTTGAATAAATCTTTGAAAAGATTAAAATCCCTAACAGTTGGCTCAAAGGAGATATTTTCTGAGTGCCATTTGCATAGTTATGATGCTGACTTGAGGCAGGCATCACTTGATAAAAATTCCTAGGCACTCAGGATGCTCAGGGCAGCAGGAAAACCCTGCGGTCTGCAGGTCCTGGAGTGTTCTCTAGTCATTCTCTAGCAGGCCCCAGCTGTCTCCCTAGAATCAGAGACAGCAGGCTGACCCTCTGCCTCAGCGGATGGCAACTTCACAGCATCAATATTCAGAGTTCTGTGCAGGAATCAAAGCTGCACATTTTAAAGCCATATATACCAGAAATTTAGCCTTCTCTGTTAAGTTATTGGATCTGTTGCTCTGTGCCATTCTTCTGGGCAAGTGAGATGATTAGGGAAAGACAAATTGTCTCCTCGTTATAGATTAGTCACCTAGCATGAGATCTATGCATGGGAAGCCATTTGCAACCAATTAATAAGAAAGTAAAGTCAGTCAGGTCAAAAAAGGAAGAAAAGTGAATTAAATTGGGCCTGAGCAGAAAGAAGAAAAAAATGACCAAGAGTGAGGAAGTCAGCATTATTTTGCATTTGTATTTAAGGCACGATTTTGATTTTTTACTTTTTCAGACTGCATTTTTAACAATGGTTTTCTTAATTGACGAGCAACAAGTATATTGCATTTCAAACATTAAGCAGTGAAAAGCAGGGTGCTCGTATAAAAATAAAGCTTCCAGGATTAAATAGTAGAATCATTTCTGTGTGTTCTGCCATTTTTCATAGCCATGGGGAAGATACTCAGTGATTCCTTTTGCTTGAATTTTAAGCACATGGGATATGCGTCCTCTGGTCTTGAGTCATTCTTCAGAGTTTCTGATGGGCTGGAATGAGAGCCTATATTTTATATCATGGTGCCCAGCTCCCAAGAGATGCCAGGTGATCCTTGCAGCACAGAGAGGGTAGGCATGGCTTCAGCCCCTTCTGCAATGAGGAATTGGACTCCTGAAAGTTAAAGGACCTAAGCTTCCAAGTGATGAGAATTCTACAGCATATTCTCTAAAACCAGTGCTTTTCCTCTTCTTCCTGCTGGAACATGAAAGCTCCACGGGAGCAGCAGTCTGGCCTGCTCTGCTCATTCACTTCCGTCCAGCACCTACAGCAGTGGCTGACCACTAAGGCCATGTGCACCGTGTGAGCCAGGCCCCTGGCTCCTGAAGGCACCTGTGCGAGGTCACCTGCAGCTCCCTGTGTGGTGGTCCGAGGCCCTCACTTGTGTCTTGTCCTGAGGCTCCATAGTGTTAGTTTTCATCATAGGACAAAATACCTGAGGAAGTAAGCTTCACAGGAAGAAAGGTTTATTTTTAGTCATAGACCCCAGTTTCAGTCCACAGTCCATTGGCCCCACCATTGGAGAATCTCCTGTGGAGAGTGTGGGGAAGAACAGAGCTACTCAGACTGCAGCTGGGAAGTAAGAGAGAGAGGAAGTGGGTAAGGTGTCAGTGTCCTCTTTGGGGCCATGTCCTCAAGACCACACTCCTCCAGGAGGCCATGCATCTAAGGCTGCCACCACCTGGCTGATGTCTTAGGACACTGACTATATTCTGTGGGTTAGAAGGCAGGTGATAAGCAGGGCCCCTGGAAGCCATCCAGAAAGAGACCTCCTCCCTCATTCCCCATACTGTCTTACTTTTAGCACTTAATGTTATTTAGCATATGTATATTTTTCTGATTTTCTTACTAATTGGGTTTCCCTCATTATAATTTAACTCCATGAGGATAGGGATTTCTGTTTGTATTTTTCTCTGCTGTGTCCTAAGCATTAAGACTTTTTCTGGAATGCTTTTCATATTTGGTCAATGAATCAGTCAAAGAATCTTTAAATCAAATAGACCTCCACAGCTGTGACCCTCTCCCTCTGTTCTCTCCTGCCCTGGCAGATTGGTGATGAAATTCTAGAGATCAATGGCGAGACCACCAAAAACATGAAGCATTCTCGGGCCATAGAACTGATTAAGAATGGTGGCCGCAGAGTTCGTCTGTTTCTGAGGCGGGGAGACGGCTCGGTCCCAGAATATGGTGGGTCAAACTATGAAAACATTCCTTCCTTCCCTGGCATGACTCCATGAATCTGTCTCCAGAGCGGCAGCAGAAAAGCCCTTTTTGTTTCCCCTAATCACCAGTGTCTTACCAGCCTCTCACACCATGTGATTCTCTGCCTCGCTTGTCTGCAGTCTCTACACATTTCATCCTTTTGCTTGCTTATATGGACTGGGGCGTGGCCTAAGACAAGATCCTGGTAGCCCCCTTTCTGGTAATCAGAGAGGACACGCTGTCTAGTTCGACCAAGAGCGAAGGAATGTTTGAACTGTGCCAAACTGTTTCTCAGATCCAATTGTTAGCACAAAATGACTATATTCTCCTTTTAAGAAGCAGGAAAGCAGGTTTCCTGAGTGTATGTTGAGGCACAATATATATTTTCTGTTTTGCTTACCTGATATCTTTATTTAAGAGACATGAAATTTCAACATGATTTGAGGGCTTACTTACCCCCGTATGTTCAGGATGCAGTGATCCTCCACCCCCTACTGGTCAGTCAGATGACCTGAGCCCACTGCTATGGAACAAACAACAAGGACTGTTGATATATTAGCCATATATAGATTCCCAGTGCTCACCATGAGGGAAACACGTTACTATACCTTTCCTGTGAGGAAAGCCAGGTTATACATAGAGTTCCTTTGTCATCTCTCTGGACATGATTGAGTAGACAGAAATGATCTTTACATAGCTTAGTGTTCGGATGGCAAACTATTGTATATTGTAATAATTATGTCCTATTAAGATTCTTGTTTAAATTTTAAAAATAAAAAGGAAGAAAGAAACTATGCCCTAGATGTAGGGCTTTTTTTTTCCCAACCAAAGGTCTAAAAAAGTTTCTATAGAAACTGTGATTGAATGGTCCCCATAATATATATTGGTCCCCTTTATTAGGGATTCCTCTGTTATCACCCGCTTTTCTGAAAGTCATTCTGCACAATTCTCAGTTGCATTTTGGACTTAATGAGGTGCTTAACGCAGATAAAGCTTCAAGAAAATAGCTCCTTTGAAAGGCAGCCTTCGGGTGTGGGACAGGGGTCCAGGTATACAGCACGAGGGTCCAGGGTAAGGGGAGAGGTGCAGAGGTGGCCAAGCCACAATGAAGTGACTGTGCACAGGGCTCCACCCTGCCCGCTGGATATAGCAATGCCACTAAACTGTGTAACCGTGTCTCCCTTTCCTGTCCTCCTCCCTATGCTTCTGTCAGATGTGGTATTTCATTTGAGCGTCCTCATCAGTAACCTGTGTACCTTCTCCAAACCTGTGTCTGTTGCACTGAGGATGAAAATCCAACACTAACAAATGTTCTTTGGGCTAAAAATAAAGTTCACTCACATGGTTTTCCAAGAAGGATTTAACACACCAGGGTTGCTCTGCTGTAATGTTTCCATGTGTCCCTCGGACTAAACCTCTCTAATTCCATTGATTATAGAATCACAAATGGGTTACAATATGTTAAGTTCCAATATTTTTCTGACTTGACTGGAACCTGCTTCTCTGTGAGGCTATTTTTGTAATGAGTTTTTGTACTTAATTTAACTGCAAGGGGGGTGGGGGGTGCAGGGTGGGGACTTGGTTCTTTTGTGTTTATTGTTAATGCACTCTATGCCAGCCTGTCATTGTTCCAGTTGTTTGGGAAAAAACACAAAACAAAAACAGGACACATCTGTTGTCTGGGTTCTCGAGTCACCTTACGCTGTCTGAAATGTCACGTCCCGATCACGGTCTCTGCAGCCTTATTGATAGAGCGTTGCCTTAGACTGTCTGACTGGACAAATAAACTCTCTTTGCCCTATGTTAACAAATGCAGATTTTATCTTTTTTCTTTCTTCTTTGTTATAGGGAATCTAAACGTTCAACTTTTTCTCTTTCTCTCTCTTTCTCTGACTGTTCTTGGTGCTGGGCCCTCCCTTCCACAGCGATGATGCCTCCTAATATCGCTGCATGTATGAGAAATGAAAAGCTCGGGGAGGCTTGCTTCTACCTTATGGGCCATAATCAAACTACGGTTTGTAGCTCACTCAATACTAGGTGTTTCTGTGCTGTGGCCTAATTTCCTCATTGCTTCCGCTTAGCTCTGTTTTGATATGTTTGACAGTCCATTCTGAGTACCCTGCATCCTTTGAATTGTAAGTACACCGCTGATATTGTCCCAGTGTTGCTCTCCCTTGTCTTAAGCATAAAAACTGCAGTAATGACTTTTCCTCACACAGTGTCAGATGAGTTTCTCCATTCTAGAAAGAGTAGACCTATGTCACAGAGCTCACCTGTGTATACAGGACTCCCAGTCCATCCCCAGGGCTAAACGCTGTCCAAGCTGGTTCCTCAAAGTTTTCTTGGCACACGGTCACGCCCTCCTCTTTTATGTGCTGCCTAGGGCTTTGCACCACAAGGGCAGACCGAGACTCTGTGATCCAAAGTATTTTCTACCTGGCCTGTTAGAAGAATTTTGCTGACCCCAGCTCTAAACTGAATTCCTGCTATCTTGTTTGTAAAAGCCGTCCTGGGTTTTGGGAGATTTTCATGAAATGCGTTAATTGCTTACTGGTGACCTTGTTGCCTTATGAAAGATCTTTCAAGCATCCCAGAGACTCCTGCCTTTGTCAGTTTAAAAACTTCCCTTTTTTTTGAAATGACACAAAAGTACCTAAGATAGGTGAATAACACCCACAAAGATAGAGCGAATACTTTTAATCGCCCCCAGGTACGGGTAGTATTTGTCAGCATCTGGCCTCCGTAATTCCCTCTGCCTACACCCTACATTTTTTTTATGTCAAAGTTGGGCCAGGTGTGGAGGTCCACAAGTTCAAGGCCAGCCTGAACTGCATAGTGAAAGTTTACCCCCCAAAAGTAGACTTGGTCAGTGGTGAAGTGAACCCCGACCTCCACATGCCCCACTCAGATCACCACCTACGAGACACAGGCCATCTCTTGTCTCCTGGAAACTTCCCTTCCGCCCTCCAAGTCAGCGTCCTTCTGGCTTTAGCAAGAGCTCACTGTGGGAAAGTGTGTTCTGGGGAGGCGCGGGTGGCGGGAGCCCTGGGTGCTGAGGAGCAGCGGAGAGGCTGGGGCGGGGCTGCTAACAGACAGCCGGTAGGGGTGCAGCCCTCGGAGTCCACAGTGACCCGAGCCTGGAGGCGGCTGGCTGCTGCTCCAGGGTCCGGCTGTCTGGGTGTGGCTCGCGGGCGGCGGGTGGCGGGCGGCGGCGGGCATGCATACCGAGTGTGCTCTGTCTCCGCAGACCCCGGCAGCGAGCACGGCGGCCCCGCCGGGGCCCACGGGGGCCCGCCAGTGAGGCCAGGCCGCCGGCCCCCGCCGCTGGAGCCCGGCCGCGCCCCCGACCGCCGCCAGACCCCGCAGCAGCACGCGGAGAAGCGGGCGCACGGGCCGGACGCCCGGGGCAGCAGGGAGCGCCGCGCGCCGCCCCCGGAGCACCACACCTGGAACGGGACCCCGCGCCGGCCGGCTGGCGGCCCCGAGCGGCCCCAGGAGCGCGCGGCCCGGCGCCGGTCCCCCGAGGGCCGCAGGGAGGGCACCCGCAGCGCAGACACCACGCTGGAGCGCAGGGAGCCGCGCCACGGCGACCGCAGGCCTGGGGGCTCCCCCGAGCGGCGGCGCCGGTCCCTGGAGCGGCCCCCGGGTCCCCGCGCGCCCGAGCGCAGGGCCAAGTCCTCCGAGCGCAGGCGGGAGCGCTCGCTGGACCCCCGCGGCCGCGAGGACAGAGGCGGCCACCGCGAGCGGGACCCGGCGGACGCGAGGCAGGAAGGCGGGAGAGGCCCGCGGAACCCCCCGGAGCCGCGACGGAGACCCTACCGAGAATGTAGCACGGACCTCAGCATCTGAGACCCGCGGATCCAGCCTTGACCGGTCAGAGGTCCGGGAGGAAGGCGGCTGCAAACCCGAGACGATCTAGTTTCTTACTGGAGGACGCACCTGACACCTGACGGTCCCATGAGTAGGGACGTTTTATGCATTTGGAATCTTACAAGAAAAAACAATATGAAAAGTGTTGTGCCTGATGTATATTAAAGAAAGTATTTTTAAATGCATACTTTTTTTGGAAGTTATTTGCCAAATACTGGCCCAAAGGGATATAAATTTTGTTTTTAAGTAAACTGTAGAATTGTTAAGAAGCATTCCCCTTTTGGAGCAGTCTTTTTTCCCTGCTGGTGAAATGGGGCTGTTGTTGGTCATTTTCTGGAAGTAAAGGAAATTATTATGTTGAAGTAACTCGATGCAAACTGTTAAGTAGTGACATAGTATTATACTGTAGACAAGAGTTGTTCTTTAAGGCAAAGAGTAAGAAGGCAAACTTCTGTTGTGAGGACTGAGGACCTTTTGGAATGGATGGGATTGCCAATGATCCTGATGTTAAGGAAGCAAACTGTGTGAGTAGACTACTATCGCAAATGAAGGATATTTATAGCTAAACTGCACAGCACAAAGGAAGTTTATGTTCTTGAGTTATAATTGGTTCCAAACAGCTTGTATCCTCCCTGGCCCAAGGGAGGACAGACACGAGAAGGCTGACCACTGTGCAGCCGAAGCCCGGATCATGGGGTCCTCAGTATCCCTGCCCCATGAGTAGGGTTTCCGGATGCCAGTGCCTTGGCAGCTCTGCTCAGATGCTAGAAGGGACAGGCCATCAGCACCTATGTCCTGTGGTCTTTTGCAAAGCCGAGTAGGGGAAGGAATGTAGGATAGTGTGGTGGGTGTGGAGGAGACCTGACCATCCTCAGCACAAAAAGCCTGCCCCTGCACTAGCCTAGGCCTATGGTTATGCTGAGATGCCAGTAGGAAACAGACTGAGCTTTCCTGGAAGGAACCTCCTCACTCTCTCTGTGTTTGAGAGGTGAGTGCTGAGTCTGCTCATTCCTAGAGGCTGAGACTGGGTGGCAGGAAAGGAAAGACAAGATCCTCAGGTGCCAGCTCTGTTTGGGACCCCTCTGCCATTGTGACCCTGTCCTTTGTGTCTGGACAAGAAGAAAACTTAATGATTTTTTCTTTTTAAAGAAACCCGTTCTTTTCTGCCCCTCAGGAGGTGTGGTTGGGGTGGTAGCCCAGGTGTGATTTAAATGGATTACTGCCTAGCTGAGCCAAATGTCTGCTTGTTCCTGTTGGATCACTACAGCCAACCACTGTTCACAGCGCGTCGCGTGTGTACTGTTTTGCATCTTCCACGCGGACACAAACCTTCGCAAGTCAATCACTGTTGTTCCCATGGTACTGTATTTAAAAAAAAAAAAAAGGAAAAAGAAATAAAACCAGCCAATCATTGTGTATACAGAGTTAAAAGTTGTAATTAATAGAGCCTGTTTAAAAAAAAAACAACTGTTGCCTTTTTTCTTGTATAAAAGAGAATTTATGAAAAAATTTAGCTGTGAGGAATGTGATATGTGTTTATATTTCTGAGCAAATTGATTTATGGGGATATATTTTAATGTAAACTAAATCAGGTATGTAAAGTTGTTTTAAAGCGGGAGACTGTAAGTAATTCTCTGCAGCTTTAGTTGGTTTGGGGTGCCTCATCTCCACGGTGAGCCTGCCTGTGAATTATGAAGCACTTGTTCACATTCTCTGTTCTCCACTCGTTTATTTCTTGCAGCGTGCTACGGACTTAATGCTCTTTCTGTATTGATGAAAAGCAGTATGTGGGCCAATCTTTTTATAAAACACTATGCATATATAAATATTACATTGTTCATAGCTTTATTTGACTTATGGATTATAGATAACAGTAGAGTAAGTAGATGTAGTTATGTAGACACTTAGGAAATCAGTTCCTTTCCTGGAGCGGACACAGTGTACATTCTGTAGCTAAAAAGAAGGGAAAGACTGCTGTTTTTATTGCCAGAGTTTTCCGTAGAAAGCATACACTGAGCTGTAATAGTAAGATGAGGAAAAGTACAGCTAAATAACAGTGTTTTTTCCCGTTTCCTAAGAGCCAACTTGGAGATTTTATTCCTGAAACTCCACTGCTGAGATTTTCCTCGCTAGTTCTGGTACAATCTGGGATATTAAACAACCAGTGGTCTCAGTAATAGTCCAGGGTTTCAGCCAAGTGGAATCAAGGTGGGTTTTCAGGTGCATACTGGAGTTAACATTTGGATGCTTTCTTGTTATAAGAGGTGACGTTTGATGTTTTTAACCTGTTCAGTCCACTTGATCTTTCCTCAGTTCATGAGGACTTTCAGTGTGGAACTTGCTCCTTAATTCCACACATCAGATTTGTTTTGGAAATACCATACTGTACAGGGACTATGCATTAAGCAGAAAGATACATTTTCTTTGACGTACTGTAACTTTAAATTGGAAGTCAATTCTTGTGAGCCTACTTTCCCTAAACTCCATGTAAATGTGTTGAAAAGCAATGATGGATGAGTATTTTATATAATTAAATCAAACCATCTAGGGATTCCCCTTCCATTTCACAGTTGATGCCTGAAACAGTGTAGGGGGAACTCAACACCCTACTTGTATTTTTTAAGTTTCTTTTGTGAAAGATTTTAAATGCATTTTTATTGTGAAAATACATGAAAACATGGTTCAGTAACCACTATTGCTTCTGGGTTGATAACTTCCTTGTCTCCTTGTTGTCTCAAATGTATCAACATCAAGGAATCAGCTGAGGGCATGTGATGGTGACATCAGAGTGTCATTCCATGGGAGAACAATGACCTGCTTGTGACTTGTATGGGTCAGAGAGTAGCTGCCTCCGCACTGCCAGGAGTCAATTAGAAACACAGATTCTCAGACCCCACTCCAGACCAACCGTGCTGCCGTGAGAGCCTGATCAGATTCCCAGCTAATCTGTACACTGGAACATTTGAGCTGCATGATGCAGCATAGGACACCAGAAATAAAACATCTTGCCAAGCCAAAGCTTGATCGCTTCCTAGCTGTGCAGTACTTGGCAGGTTCTCAGGGTCCTCTTGCTTCTCCTCACCTGTGCAGGGGCAGGTCCCCGTCTTCAGAAGGTCTCCAACAGATGACACGAAAACTTCTTATTGAGGGTTTTTTGCATAGCAGTGACTACCTACTCTTTTCCTTGCCCTGGTTTATTTTCCAATCGAAATGAAGAAATACATGTTCTCTACTAAAATAGAGAAGAAAGTCTTTGGCTTTAACTATAAAATTAATAAATAATATAGCTTCTGGTACCTTCCAAGTTTAATTATACTCACCGTTCAAAATGCTGTGCCCAGAGAGTAAAACCAAAAGTCTCAACATAATTTTTGAGGCTGTAGATATATATGAATGAGGCTGTTTTTAGACCATATATATTTGAATAAGAGAGAGAGGAGACAGGCTCCCAGTCATACTAGATAAAAAAGCAACCACCCATTAGCATGTGAGAATTTAGCATGTGTCTAGGATTGGGTAGCTGCAGGTAAGTTTCCATTTGCCTTCACCCCATTCTGTAATTGTTCTTCATATGCTCAATGTTCCAGATGCTCTTACAGAACCTAAGCCCTGGCATCCTGGAGGGTATTGTGTTTAAGCTTAACCAACAATTAGAGTTCTTTGTAAATTACTTCATAAAAGATCTTTACCTGCTGTAAATAGCTACACTGAAAAGATTTTGCTAAGACTCATAGCTGCCAGGATTTCCCCGCTGGTGGGCAAACAGACCACCTTTGATGGTGTGCATTAATCTTCAAAGGAAGAGTCCTATCTGTGGGTTCCAGGTGAATTTTTTTTTTTTGTTATGCAACAGCAGCAGCAGTGCTGTGCATGGTCAGCATAGTAAGATCTGACCACTTCTGGAATGGCTGCTCCAAGTTGCAAGAAGGGAAAGAAGAAGGCTCAGTCCTTTCCAAGCCAGTGATTTGGGATATATTTTGCAGGGGAGGTTGTTCCGTAAAAGCTTTGACCAGTTCCTTCTAGCAACGGTTGTATGCATTGTGGTCATAGACATTAGGTATATGCTGTGTCCAAAGCTCACAGGGTCATTTTGAAAGTGTGGGTTTACGTGGCATGGTACTAACTTCACTGTATGGTCAGTACTTAAGTACTGCATGTGACTGCTGCCTTTACTGCACTGAACTGGAAAATTATTGTGTAAATGTCTCTGAAGGAGACAAGGGCATGGTCCACACAGGGCAGCTTCAGATACCTTGCCCATAAGCATGGCCTCTGTGTCCTCAGGCATAGCTTCTCTTCAGTCTCACAGAATCCTAGAATTGAAGGAGGAAAAGGCTGGTGATTCCTCCATGTGTAATAGCTGAGGCATATTCCCTAGTGACTCACTTTCTCTACACATTTTTTTCCAAATCCATTTTATTTCAAGGATAAAAATTAAAAAACTAAATTTCAGAACACATCAATCAGGGGAAACAATGGTACCTACATTGCACATTGTCATCCCCAAATAACCCAGAGCACAAGACATCTTCAGTTTTCCAAATATTACCAGCACAAATCTTTTTCCTCAGTGAACTCAGAAATCATTAGTATTAACTAATCCTTAACTATTATTTTTATATACATGCTTTTTTCTTTTGGTTTCTCATAGTAATGAAAAAATACGATGTTTATACAAGCGTGTCTTATTTAACTAATGAGTATATTCTCAAGATACATCCATTTAGCTATAAGTCACCAGTTTATCTTTCTTTATGGTTGAGTAGTACTCTGTTGTATAAAAATACCACATCTTTTTATATCCATTCTTCAGTCAATAGGCATTTAGGTTATTTCTAAAATACAGCTATTACAAACTGTGCTGCTATAAACATGGGTGTACAAATACTGCTATGGTATGATGTTTTTAATTCTTTTGGGAAGCTGAGTTGAATGGAATCTCTAGTCCTAGTTTTTTGAAGAATCTCCACACTGATTTCCACAGTGGTTGTACCATTCTGCACTCCTACCAACAATGGAGAAGGATTTCTTTTTCCCCACAGCACCTCGAACATTTGTGATTAGTTGATTTCTTATTAGTAGTCATTCTTTCTGGGGTGAGGTGAAATCTAGTGTTGTTTTAATTTGCATCTCTCAAATGACCAGTGCTGTTGAACATTTTTTCACATATTTATTTGCTGTTTGTATTTCTTCATTTGAGAAGTGCGTGTTCATCTCAGATACCCATTTTTGGATTGAGTTTAAATCTGGGAGGACTGATTTTTTTTTTTTTTGAGTTCTTTATATGCTCTTGACAGTAACCCTTTATCTGAGAGACAGCTAGCAAAAAATTTTTTCCCACATGGTGGGTTGTGTCTTTACTCTGTTGGTGGTTTCTCTTGCTGAACAAAAGCCTTTCAGTAGGATGAGATCCCAGTTGTTGATTCTTTGCTATAGTTCCTGTGTGACTGGGAATTTATTCATAAAGGTTTTGCCTACACCAATGTTTTCAAGAGTTTTACCTACTCTATCTTCCAGCAGATTTAATGTTTCTGTTTTAATATGGAGATCTTTGATCCATTCTGACTTTAGCTTAGTACATGATGAAAGATATGGGTCCAGTTTAGTCTTAAGCATGTGGAAAGCCAGTTTTTTCCAGCACCATTTATTAAGGAGGCTATCTTTCTTCCACTGAATGTGTTTGGCATCTTTGTCAAAGATAAGGTGCCTTAGTGTGTCTGGGTTTGTTTCTCCATCTCCTTATCTGTTCCATTGATCTTCAGGTCTGGTTTTCTGCCAGTACCACGCTTTTTTTTTTTTATCACAGTAGCTTTATAGTATAATTTCTAGTCAAGGATTGTGATACCTCTTGTCTTTATTGCCCAGGATTGCCTTTGCTATTCTAGGTCTCTTCTCATTCCAGATGAATTTTAGGATTATTTTTTCTAATTCTGTAAGATATGCTATTGGAATTTTGATTGGGATTGCACTGAATCTGTATAACAGTTTTGGAAGTATGGCCATTTTCACTGTATTAGTTCTTCCTACCCAAGAGCATGGGGTGTCTCTCCATTTTTAATATCCTCACCAATCTTCTTTTTCACAGGACTATAGTTTTCAATGTAGAGGTCTTTTACATCTTTCATTAGATTGATTCCTAGATATTTCATCTTTCTGGGTGCTATTGTAAAAGATATTGTTTCCCTGATTTCTCTCTCAGTGAGTTTGTTATTTCTATGCAAGAAGGCTGTTGATTTTTGAGTGTTGAGTTTATAACCACCTACATTACTAAATTTGCTTAATAAATCTAGAAGTCTTTTGGTAGAGTTTTGGGGTCTTCTAAGTAGAATATAATGTCATTTGCAAATAATGATGGTTTAATTTCTACCTTTCCTATATTTATTCCTGTTACTTTTTTCTCTTGTGTAATTGCTGTGGCTAAAGTTTCTAAGACTGTGTTGAAAACGAGTGGAGGTAGTAGACATTTATCTTGTTGATTTTAGAGTGAAAGCTTTCAGTTTTTGTCCATTTATTATGATGTTAGCTGTTGGTTTGTTGTAGATTATTTTTATCAGGTTGATATAAAGACCATCTATTCCAATTTTCTGTAGGGTTTTTTATTATTAAACTGTCAGGTTTTTTTGCATCTATTGAGATGATCATATGATACTTGTCCTTGGCTCTGTTAATATGATGTGTTACATTTATGGATTTACATATGTTGAACCATCCCTGCATCCCTAGGATGAATCCCACCTGATCATGGTGTACAATCTTCTTGACGATATGCTGCAATCTGTTTGCCATACCTTACTGAGGATTTTTCATCAGTGTTCATTAGGGAGATTGGCCTGTAATTCTCTTTCTTAGTTGGGTCCTTCTCTGGTGGGAATCAGAGTAATTTTTGCTTCCAGGAATGAATCTGGGAGTGTTACTTCCCTTTCAATTTCATTGAAGAGTGTAGGAGTGTTAGGTCTTCACTAAATTTCTCGTAGAATTCAGTAGTGAATCCATCAGGGCCTGGCCTTTTCTTGTGTTGCTAGGTTTTTAATTGCATCATTAATTTTATTGACTCATATTGGGTTATTTAGGATTTTTATATCTTCTTGATTGAGCTTTGGTAATTCATACATATCTAGGAATCTGTGCATTTCGTCTGTATTTTCCATCTTATTAGAATACAAGTTTTCAAATAGGTATAGATGATTTTTTGAATTTCTGCAGGGTCTGTTGTGATTTCACCCTTTTCTTTCCTACTTGCATGGGTTTGAATCTTTTCTTTTCTCTTTTTGATAAGCTTGGCCAAAGGTTTGTCAATTTTATTTAACCTTTCAACAAACCAACTCTTTGATTCATTGGTTTTTTTCTATTGTTTTTTAATCTCCAGTGTGTTAATTTCTGCTCTGATCCGTATAATTTCCTCCTTTTGTACAAGCTTTTGGCTTAGCTTGCTCTTCTTTTCCTAGAAGTTTAAAGTTCAACCTTAAGTTGTTTATGTATGCTTGCTCTGTTTTCTTGATATGAGTATTTAGTGCTATACATTTCCTTCTTAAGACTGCTTTCATTGTGTCCCACATGTTCTGGTATGTTATACTGTGATTATCATTCAACTGTAAAAGCTGTCTAATTTCTTCTTCAATTTTATCTGTGACCCACTGATTGTTCAGTAGGTTGCTATTTAATTTCCATGTGTTGATGAAGTTCTCTTGGTTTC